GCATGCCGACAGACCCACCAGTGGCAAAAACTGAAGGAGTCATCAAAGGCCTGACAGAGAGGCTGGCAAGGAGAAGCTGCAAGAGTGAAGCTGGACCAAGAGAGCCAAGAATCACCCATCATCCAGCCCAGAGCTACAGCAACATGAAAAGACAAGGCAATCAATCTTTCTAACTTACTTGGCTACATGATCAAGGAACATTAAGCACTGCCTCACAAGGCTGCTGTACTTGGAAAGGTATTTCAGGTCCACTGTGTACTGAACCAGAGTGTCCTGAGCAAGGCTGGGTGGGAGGTTACTGGTTGATTCTTACAGAGACAGCAAACTCCTCAGCACAGGAAGAAAGGACCACCCATACAGATTGCACACGAGCTATACAAATCTCTCACTCCTTTGAGCAGACCCCGGGATCCAGGCAGTGAAGCACATTTGAATGTCTCTGGCAAGAACACGATCCCACAGAGTACAAAGACAGCATGGTGCACACAAGGCTAGAGATAGCTGAGCCAGAGGACATGGGAACTCAATCTCATTTCAGCACAGGGACCTGTCTATCCCTGCTTTGTAACAGGTGGACAAACAAATAACAGGATCGTATTTGATTGCCCCCCTCAGAAATGTCAAGTCATCATTGCAAGGGCAGCTGGCTGAAATGAATGTGTTTTTAAAATCATTGCATTTAGCTGTGATTAAAGCTACCAAACAAGAAAGTTTAATCTATTATTATTATTCATGGGTTTGAGGGCTTTGTGGTTTTTTTTTCTTTTCCTTTTCATTTTTTCTTTTAAATTGTTTTCTGGAAAAAAGTAGTTTTTCTCTCCACCTTGCTACTTGACAGTCCGATTTGCAACTAGTTATACCATGAAGAATACATAAGTTATTTCTATTTGCAAATCAAGAGAACAACTTGGCCACATGCTTAAACATCTTAGTATAGTAGAACAACCATTCACTGTTTTTTAAATAGTTACATTTTAAAACTTTTTAATCTATATAAATATAATTAGGAAACAGCTTAGAGTCCAGAAAACTAGCACTTAAATTGAAATTATAACCTAAGTCAAACAACATTACATGTGCTGGACAGAAGTCACTTATCAAAATACTTTACATAAACCACATGGTTTGTTACCCAAAGAAAATATGCTAATGGAAGTTATTTTCCTTTTGGTGTTCATCAGGTCTGTAGAACTACTAGATAGCAGCCTAAATTTGATGAGAACACACTTCCCCTTTTCATTGCCTATTCTGCTTCTTAGCTTTGAGTGGGTTAACTGTTGGACTGATGTAAACTGGAAACAAAAGCAGGGAAAATGTTATTCAGCTGCAAAAGGGATCTCAGTTGTCAAAGTGATCCACCACTTCAGTAAACTCTCACTCTTGGAAAATAGTTGGTTCAGCCAGTTTTTTAAATTTATAGCAATTAATCTCTCATGACAACTGTTAATTTTAAACCTTGGTCCTTCACCTTTCTTATGCTCCAGAGGAAAAAGTGTGGACCCTTAAGGCTAAGAGAAGCCTCCACAGCCTGTCCCATTTGTGTCTCCCTGCTCCCCCCGGTCTCTGAAGGCAGCTGGAGAGGGTAAAGCCAGGCATAGCAGGCACCTCTTGCGTGGGGAGAGGGAAGGGGGAAAAGGCAGGAGATGCTACAGGCAGATGCTATAGGAGAGGAGGAGATGGCTGTCCAGGTGGCCCACTGTGAGTTAGATGTTTAAGTAATTAATTGGGAGAATTAGGGTTTGCAATTGATTTCCTTGTGGATCCTTGTGGACTAAGACAGTGCCTCAACCAGCCAATATGTATCTGAAAAGGGGGAGTTATGGCTACATCCCATCTTTCCCAGGTGCTTTGCTGACTGAGTTGCTGGGTAAATACTGCAAAAGATCAAGGTGCTTGAATACCACTGCAAGAAGCAGATAGAGACTGGCTGTCTTTTAAGGCATGTACATAGCCATGGCTTATTTTTCTTCAGGAAGCAACTTATGTTCTTCCCATATGGGTGTTTTCGAATGCAGCTCCAAAATAACAACCTCCAGTTTGTTGGGAGTGAGAGTACAGAAGAATGAGCAAAGCTGTAAACAGCCAAATTCTCCAGAGAAATAAGTAGCAGTGAGGAGTTCCTAATCAAAGGCTATTTCATGCCTTTATAAGCATTATTAAACTCCTAAAGGGGCAAGCTAGACTTGGAAATTCCCCATCTAAGAAATCTGCTCCAGAAGGTCTCAGATGGAAGTTATGTGTCACTTCACCATCAAGTCTCAGATCCCAGAGGAGCGCTGATTAGCAGTGCTGAGGACATCATCTCAAAACCAGTTCCCATAGATTTGGAAGGTGCCTGAACCTCCTGTGATTGCTGGGCAGAGTGCCCAGGGATTACTCCAAGGCTCACACCAGACAGTCAGCACTCTGGGCCAGAGAAAAACACCCCTGGCAGAAGATGTAAGCAGTCAGTGCCTGGGGGTACAATACTGAAGCACTGTGTAGGGCTGAGAAAGTCATGTCTGCTGAGGACTCCACTGTTCTGCCTGAAGGGTGCAGCTAAATGTCCATAGCAGAACACACAGCTTTTGCCTCAGTAGCAGCTGGTTTATCTGTTCCAGCAGAGGCCATGTAGTGTGGATGTTCACATGACCACACTCTGCAATGAGAGGGCTGACCCAGAGAATCACATCACTCTGCCCTGCTGCTGGGGTGTAGGACAGACAGAGTACATGGCCAAAGCAGCAGGATATTCCCCCCTCCCAAGTATTGGCTTCTCTTGAGCTGCCTCTTAATATTAGAATTATTTTTCTCCCACAGCCTCTGCTGCTGGCTGGGGTGCTGTCAGGGAGGGGGCTCAGTCTGTTCCCAGCACAGCATCGGTATTAGCACTTACACCAGCGCAGACTGGCTGGGGGAGTCCACCACCTAGGTGGTAACTACAGCACAATGTTGCCTCAGCCCATGATTTCCCTGCTCTTCTCCCAGGTAGGCCTTGTGTTAAAAAGCTGGCACAAAGCTGGTGTGCTGCAGTGTTTGGGAGATGTCAGGGCACACCTTCCCCCACACGCATGCGCAGCTTTCTGAACGACACCACTACTGAACAGAGATGTTCCATCCACGGGCCTCTCATATTTGTTTTCATCTGTCAAAATCCAAATCCAAGTGTGAAGGCTTGCAGGACAGTCCTAGAGTCCAGATCCAGGTTTCAAATAGAAGGAGTAAAAGTCTCAGATATTTATATTAACATGTATAATTTTTTACATGTTGAAAACGTGTTAAAGACAGAATTATCATCTATGTAGCAGATTTCTACCGTATCCTTAATATTTAACTCTGCATCCACGTTCATGTTTAGACTGGCTAATATGTTACAGAGATACTAAATTTTGGACCCGGTGTAAAAAACATGGCATCAATAAAATGCCATATTTCAGTTAAAAAGGAAAGTCTTGAAAAAATAGTTCAATCTACCAGTAATGAATACAGGCGAAATTGCACCAAGCTGGCTTTACCAGTAAGGAGAGATGGAAACTGGAGAGAACTGGCTGGCCCTCATGTCCCATTTAGGACTGGGCTCTTAGTGGCAGTTTTGAATCATCTCTAAATTCTTCCTGAGCAAGTGGAAAAGGCATCCTCCAGAACTGACTCCAACCAGTGTATCCGGTGGTTTCAGATATCCATGATATATCTCTCCCCACTCAATTTTTTTATTAAATCTTCCTTTTTATGTATTACTGAGTATGCTGATGCAGAGATGCAGACTCTGACAACGGTGCCAGGCTGTAATTTAATGCTTAGACTTTGGATATGGTTTATCCCAAAAGAAACCACAGCAGTCTTTCACCACTGAGCAGCTAATTACCCATAATGTGCTGAGATGTTTTGCAGTTACAGATGGGAGCAGAACTGGCTCCTAGAAGTAAACTAAGTCCTGCATCCTCGCTCTAACAGTAAATAGACAACCTCTCAGTCTCTTGTGGCTAAGGTCTAGTGTAAACTGTGACTTACAAGATCGAATATCTTTTCCAGAGTGGATTTACAGCTCTGACATTACCCTCTTCTTTTAGTTCAGATGGGGATTTGCAGCTGTGTAAATGAAATGAGAATTGCATCCATATCTTTGCCAAGAAAATGTGCTAAATATACAAATAGGCTGCAATGAATATGATTTAATCCTCAAAGCAGACGTATTTTGAAGGATTTGATTATTTTCCCTTCTAGAAGTCAAGCTCTTGCTGTGAGCCTGTATCTATAGAAAAATACTGTTTGCGGGGACCCCTGGTTCTTCCTCTGGCTTAGGGAATAACTTGACCCAGAACAGCTCTGCAGCCTCTGTCTCAAGACCCTTTTAAAGAATGGGGAAAGCTGGATGATATGAGAGGAGGAAATAAAAATCCCTTCGGTGGGCAACAGAGTGTGAAGGGCTGTTGCTGTTTTGGAAGAAGACTCCTAATCAAATCTTTGCAAGCCAGTATTTCTCAGCTGAATCACACAGAGGGAGGCTTAGGACAAGGTGTCTCTTGCCCAGCCTGGGTTAGCTCTGTGACAAGGATGCCTGTTTCTCTGTGCCGTGGCATTTCACTTTCAAGAAGCCAGAGAGGCCAAGGCTCATTCATCCATGTGCTGGTGGCCTTTCCAGAGTCACGTTGAAGCTGGGCTTGGGGCCATTCTGGCAGCATTGCTGGCTTGTGTTAAATCTGCCTGTTTGTTAAGGTAATGTCCCCTTAGCTCCCTGTGTGCTGAGAGTTTCCTATGAGTGTGCAGACAGGTGTGTGTGTGCAGGTGCAGTGCAGCAAGACTGTGAGGAGAGAAGCAGGGAATGTCATATCCGCCTGTTCTATCCCTACGTGGCTGTAACTCAGTCTGGGGAGGTGGGATGAGCAGGCAGATGAGGACACTCCTACCAAAGCAAATGGGAGCCCCAGCCCACCCAGGACATGCAGGGGAGTTTGTGCCACGCCTGTGTTTGCACTGGGACTGCTCCACACCAGGTGTATGGTTTAATGGGAGGCACCTACCTTCCCTGGCAGAAGGCTGGGGCTGGGAGGACTAGGATGCAAAGTTGTGGGGAACCAATCATTTATCATGAGCTGCCCAGCCTTTGGCATGAGCAGTGGGTCCAGCTGGAGACAGCAAATCTCTATTGCTTAAAGAGAAAAAAGGCAGCAAGAAAAGAGGTTAATGCTGCTTACCCTTGATAAAGCTTTTAGCTGCAAAATGTCACATTCTTCAAAACCCAATCAGCCAGTCATGCCTTAGGCTTTAGCAGCTGTAACTCTAATTGGACCAAGAAAATTAGTTGATCTGCAGCTGAAAACACAAAACACAGAAAAAAACCCCACAAACAATAACAACAACAAAACCTTCCACAAAGCACATGCTAATCGAGTTAACATGTTGAGAGGGTCTATATGACATGAGTGTTCACTTCATTGCCAGTGTGGCCTTTACAGCCCCCTCCAGATGACAAAGCCCTCTCTGAACTCTGCCTCCAAAGTGCCTGAGCTCCTAAGATGCAGCAACCATACCAAATTGCCCCATAAAGAAATGCAGTTTTAATTGCTGGTATCAGTCAGCCTTGGAGCAGTGGAACAAGCAGCTCACCCAGATGATTAGCATTCCTGCTGCTGGAAGAGAAGGAGTCCAGCCTCCTGGAGGGATGCAAATGTTGACTGACACCTTCCCACACTCATTGTGCTGTTGTCTCCTTCCTGGGAAGAAGGGCATGCTCTCCTCTGTCCATGGCTGACAGCACCTCTCTGTTTCCTGCAATATGAATCCAGTGGCACTACCAAGAATAACTCCAGATCTCAAGGCAGGGAGGGAGCTGCCGAGGATCTGAGTGTGGAAGCAAAGAAAATTATTACAGGAGCCAGTCAGATGGCAGTTTCCCATTTTAAGCTGTGCATTCCATATTTATTTATGTTCACTGCCTTCAAGCAATCTTCATAATGGCAGACTAGACCTGGATTTCTGATTGTGAGAGTTCCCTGTCCTGCTGTGTCCTGAAAGGCTGAAATGTGTTGCAGCCTGCCCTGGAGGACTCCTGGGACTCTTGTTTGTGAAAGGCAGGGCTGTGCTTGGGTTGTTTAGGGGTAAAAAAGGCTGATGTTTATTGTGATGGTAACTCCTCGCCAGAAGAGGACTGCTCACAACAGGGCACCTCCCAGAGTCTGAGTCTGTCAAGCTTTATACAAGCAACAAAAAGCAAAGTGGCTTTCACCACTTTCCACGGAGATCAGTCCAAAACCAGATGGATCCCAGCATTCAGAGACTGTCAAGGCACTGGACAGAATGTCTGCTCCACAAACCACGTCAAACAGTTCTCTCTTTGATGTCTGCATCCATGTGGCTTTTGTGGAATATGGTTATAGCCTCTATTAATTGACCCATTTTCAGTTTTTCCCATATGCAAAGGCCTTACTACCTATGGAGGGATGGACCTACAGCTGCTATGTCTTTCAAACAAAGGGTAATTTCCACCAAGCAAAGAAATTGTTAGTGCAGGTAGAGATTTTTGACACGTATGTTTAACAAGGAGGTATGAAATCCTGCTTCCATGCAGCTTCTTTCCTCTTGGGTCCCAAAATCTTTGAAAGAGCATACAGCACTTCAGTCTTTCTCCAGGCTCTCTTCAAGGCCATTCTTCCATGCATTTCCTTTTCCAAATGTTGCTGCCTGCTTTTCACAGGAACAGTAATAGGTGAAAGTCTTTCATCTGCCTTTAATTTGGGCAGAAAAACCTATCTATATTTGAGGTAGGAGAGGTTCTTATTTTAGTTACTCATTTCACAAAGGAGTTATTTTACAGGAAATGCTTTATGGGTGTCTCTTTATGGGTATCTCATGCACAAAGCTTCATAATTCCTTTATTTGCAGAAGTATCATTGTATCAACATGAGCAAACTCAAGATAGCAGAGGAAAGAAGTGTTCCAGGGTCCATCACAATCAAAGAGGAGTACTCCCAGGGAGATTTGGGGTCCTAAATTCTTGAGTCATCAGGGATGTGATGGTCAGGTCACACTTCCAGCAGTTTGGGTTTGTCCCTGCTCTAAATAGGGCAAAATAGGCATGTAAAAAACAAGTTTCTTCTTTTGTAGATTCCTGTGGTGGATTCTGGCAGGGTGTGATTGAGAGGAGAGGGAGAAGTGACTCTCAGAGGTGAGAGGGATCTTAGCTGGGCTTTAAGCAATGAGTTTCCCCAGCATCCTTCCAATGAGTGCCCACACTCAAGATCACTATTCCATAAGATTGCTGGTCACAGTGACCTAAGTAGTAAGTGTTGCCTTCCAAGGCTGTGACAGAAAACAATGCCAACCAAACTGCTTGTGTTTCGTTTTCTGGCTGACATACCTGACCTGTGGAGCCAAGACCAATTTGCTGCCTCTCGTGTCTCTTTAGATACTGTTGCTTCGTGTTTCTCCCAGGGAGCATCTGTGCTTTTTTTCTGTTTCCAGCAGTTAGCATTTGACACGACTTGATCTTACTGACTTGCCGACATGTCCCTTCTCTCTTTAGACTGCTAATGCAGCTGTGGCTGGTACTTTTGAACCTGGACTGGTCTGCAGATCTCAGGGTTAGTTGTGACTGCAGGCTAGGCTTCAAAAACTAAGTGCTTTGTTGGAGTCCTGTCTGAGAACTGGAGAAGGATCAAATGTGTCCACTATGCAGCCATCCATCTCCCTGGAGTTTCATAATATTATCCATCTGTTCTTTTACTTTCTTTCAAGAAAGGCTTGTGGGGTTACAGAGGTACAAATTAACACATCTTGTTTAAAAATATTTGTTGTCCATCTGTGTGGAGAGAAAAATCCATTTCTGTTAACATGGTTGTTTTCCTTCTGACACTTGCTGTCTGCAGTTCCCAATGTGGAACAAGGAGTGTTGGAAGAAGGGAAGAGCTTTACAGCAAGTGGAGCAGTGCCTTAACTTTGCATGGGGCTGGTAAGAGTCGATACTAGAGAGTGAGAGGGAAGTTTTGGGTGCAGAAAGGTGGCAGAGGAAAGAAAAGTATTTGCATTGTTCCCCCTTCCCACCCCCAAATGCCACTGGAGACAAAGCCTACAGTGGTATGGTGCCACAGTTGGGGTGCAGTATCTAACAGGGCTCTGTTAAGTGCATGCTCACTTCTATCTTACTGGACAAAGAGGGACTGGAATGGGAGGTTTTGCAGAGAACAAGCACTGCACTGAGCACAGATTGGCATCCCCTTGTCTTACAGGTCTCCTTAAAGGTCTGATGGCAATTGTCAGCCTTTCCCCACAGCCAAAGGCTTGGACACTGTATTTGTGATCCTCTTTTACTCCCCCTGACAATGGCAGGCTATAGAAAGCAGCAGAGATGTGAAAGAATCTGTCTGTCCTCTCATCTGAGGGTGGCTTTGGTCATCTGGCCAAATCCAAGAAAATGGCTGGCATGGAGTGCCAGTAAATCCCTTTGTGAGCAGAAAGACAGGGGGTAGAAGCTAGAGAGGAGAACAATGAGCAGCTCTATGCTGTCCCTCTGCCACCCCTGCAAGGCACCCCTCCAGGAGCCACTCAGCCCATTTTAAATGCCTGTCACTTCCTTCCACAGTGAGGAAGCACTGTGAGAGGCACTCAGCATGTCTCCCACAACTCCCTCCAACACCTGGGATTTGTCTTGCTAACTGTGTCTGTGTGCTGGGTTACTCTTGCTGCTACGGCAAGGGAGAAATGCAAAGCTGCAGAGCCACTGGAGAGAAACAACAGGCAGCAAATCATTCTTGGCTGTGCAGTCCATGTGTGCTTTGCACTGGGCTCTGCCACAGCCTCAAAAGGCAGTGGTGTCCCTGCATAACTCTGGCCTGTTGGACTCTCTTGGGATAGATGGTGATCAGTGAGGAGGGGAGATGCTGTATGTGTGAAGTCTGTAGCAAGATCTGAAAATCTGAGTGAAGTGCTCCATTAGCACACACAGATACAGGTGATATTCCAGGACCTCTCTGCACTGCAATGGTGGGACAACTAGGCAATGCAAAACCTTTAGCTGAAGGAAGAGTTTAAAATTGTTCTGTAACATTTTTCTTGGCTATTTATGACTTTGTGTGATCTCATTGTAGTTGGGACTGGCATGCTGCAGCCTTAGGTCTGTGTATCTGCCTTCAGCAATAACCAGGGGGGAGGTGACAGTACCTGCCCTGTCATTCTTAGGGCTAACTGCAATTTTCATATTCATTTTATAGCCTGGGGTTGATCAAAAAGGAAGACTGAAGGAAGCTTACAGACCCAAGCCACCAAAAGTGAGGATCTTGCTGTGCACACTGGCTTGCAAGTAAGTGTTAGCTTGCCCAGGTGCTCGTGAGCAGACCATAATCTTCTTCCTCATTGTGATCTCAACAAATCTGTGCTTGCTCTGGGCAGGCTCTATGAGGAGCAGTGTTCCCCTCTAGAGATGTTGGCACGAGGTGTGAATGCCCCTTTCTCCCTCCCCTTTGCATTGTCATGATGCTCATGTGCCACAAACAGGACAGTGTGAGACAGGAGTTGGGTCAGAGGGCTGGAAGGGCTGTTAAAGGCAGCTCGAGTAGCTGTTCCCTTTCCAAAAGTACATCCTTCTTCAGAACAGCTCAGCTCCTGTCACCTTCCTCTGCTTTCTCCTGTCCAGAGGATGAAAAAAATTGGAAGTACCCCAAAATAATGCATATGGGCTGGCTTTGGTACATCAAGTCATATAATAAATGCCCTGAAGCTCAACGTTGGGAGTGCTGGAAAACTGCACCCTGCCTAGAGGTGATTTCCATATAGAAAAAGCCATCCAGCCACAGAGCAGTTGAGAACTCTCTGAGCTCCTCACCACCTTTGATGATCCTAGAGAGGCTTGGCCAGGTTCACTGAGAAACAATTCAGGGCATGTTTGGCAAGCCAGAGCACCGAGGGATACTAACCGGGCCAGCCAAGGCTTTTTGCTTCTGTGCTGGCCATGTGGGAAGTCCTAGCACCTCTGGCTAGGTGCTAATGGGACACCCAAGGTGTTTGTAGCAATGTCAATGCTAGCCTGCCAAGCATCTTGAAGCATGAGTCACCTCTTCCTGAATCATGAACTGGCCTACAAAAGTTATTAATATTTATTTTCTGGCTGAAAATAGGAATGACTTGCCTTTACTTCCAAACCTTTTAATCTGTAGGATTAATTCCAGTGATGCTTACAGAATTTTCTCTGCATTCACGAAAAGTTTTTGCTGTTTTTGTGTTGTTTTCCCTGCTTGAAAATAAAAATGAGGAGTTCATTCTTCTCATCACACAGATCCAAATCCTGAAGGACTCATCAGCTGTTAGGAGATTTACTGTAAAACCACAAGGATTTGCAGTGGTTATTGACCAGCCATATGCTCAGCTCAGTGCAGTGCCCTTTTGCTCTTCTGACCAAGCTGCCTATCTGTCCACTTTAAAGCTCTCCCTGCTGGCAAGAGTTTACATTAGCTCAGCTACAGCAAGGACATCAGATTTATTCCCTATTTGCCCTTTTCAGTATTCACAAATAAAATTTGTTCAGCATGATAGATGCAGCTGCTACTGGTGTCTAAAAAACTTGTAACTGAAGATGCAATGAGCTAAGATGGAAGAAAATCTCCAATCAA